TGCAAATAAAAATGTTTGTAGAGGAGTGTTCAGCTGATGTGTCCTTCTACTGAAATTTATGGATTCATTCAACACCGCTTTTTTGTTCACAATTGTTCTTTGTTTCTTAATTTTCTAGGGGAAAGAAATGTTTCCAAGAATTAACTAGATCAATCAGCTTCTTATCCAACCTTAGATGAAGATAATTATGACTGAGTGACAGCATATAGATATCTCGTGTCTTAAAGGTTTCATTATTGAACTAAGTTTCTGCAACTAATAGTGTTCTCTGAGCTGGTTGGTTTGGTTGCGAAGCTTTCGTCGTCCTTCTGCACAACATCCCCTTTCAGAGCAATATTTAGCATAAAGTGAAATAATTTAAATTTCTTCATGAGTGATATAATTGCGTCTCCCGGTATTGACCATTTTCTATTGACTTGGATTTTAAACTTTCTGGTCACCTGATTTACTTTTTATTATTTGGTATATTTCGTCTATATTAACGTGTTTGTTAATTGCATTTTCGTTTGAGTACCAGGCTTCTAGGAATTCCCTGGCACTTTTGGTGTTTCTTCTGTCTAAGATTTTGACATTATCCCAATCAGGTGACCAGAAAGTTTAAAATCCAGGTCAATAGAAAACGGTCAATACATATGTAAAGATGGTTACCGGGAGACGCAATTATATCACTCATGAAGAAATTAAAGTCATTTCACTTTATGCTAAATATTGCGCTGAAGATGTTGTCCAGAAGGACGACGAAAGCTTCGCAACCAAATCAACCAGCTCAGAGAACACTATTATTTGCAAATCATCCACCTGAGCTACAAATCTTCCCTATTATTTCAAGAACTAAGTTTCTACTTTATAAGATAAAGAAAAAATTTCAAGATGACTGAATGTTCTGTAAAAATAATGAGGATTGAGCTATGAGAGTTGATCAGGATAGATTTTAGCATACACACACACACACAATCTAAACTTCTAATAGTCTCACAAATTACAGTGTTTAGAGAACAAATTCTAATCAAATTACATAATACAAAATTGCTACATCTCATTTCTTCATCAGTCATATATATATATATATTTATATATATATAGACTGAAAACGTCATTTGCACAGATGCTTCCGTGTTGAGCTACTTCTGCCCCACTTCGTATTGTGTTTCGTCGTCTTCCTTTCATATCTCCCATATTTCACCGCAATACTCGTTCGTATCCTCTCTTTGACGTCAAATCGATCTCTCTGCTACGTGACATTTTTGTCTCAATGAGCTTCTCTTTGTATACTACTGGTAAATCTTATCAGTAGTACACGTCACAATGCTGCTGATTAATACAAATGCAGCTGCTGTTAAATGCTGTTAGTCCCTATACTCATTTGAAGCTATCCCCAAGTGGAAAACATTTTAATTATTCGTTTATGGCCTGCCAGTCTTCATTATTTTGGTTACAGGATCTCAATATGAGCTGACATCGGTTAGAAGACCACTGAAAAACCAACTGAGAGTACTGGACAGCTGTTTCCTCCGTTCCAGTTTGAAACTCTTCGTCAGTACACACCCACCTCCAGGGTTCGAACCCACGACCTTCTGGTAACAAGGCGAGCGAGCTCGTAGACCACTAAGCCACTGAAACACAATCCAATGGTCAGACCATGAATTCCAGCTTCTGCCAATTTATGACATAGCGTGACCACTAGCCAATGTCTTCGGCAAGTATTTGTCCTAACGCCCGACCTTCTGTACCCTACTGGTCACGACTTCCCATTATTTTACTGACTTTAGTATGATATTACTGAAAGTTACAGAAGTTAATATCGAAATGAGGTTACATTTTTTTAAAGTGTTAAAATATTTTAACACTACTAACAGATACAACGAAAAAAACAGCAGTGAACAATTGCAATTGATTTCAGACGAATAACAAAGGTTGCTGATAATTTTCTTCAGTTTCTCAGTGTCGCTAATGGACAAATGATTCCAGTTAATTTTCAAGACTCTGTTTGTAGGGATTTAATTTGTTTCAGTTTTGATCACGGATTGATATCAGTTAGAGAACTATTCAGAACAGGGGAATACTGGACAACTGTTTCGTCCTAGTTTGGGACTCTTCTGTGTTGCACACCCACCACGAAGGTTCGAACCCAGGACCTTCCGATTAAAAGGCAAGCTGGCAGACCATTCAGCCACTGGAACGGAATCCAATCCTCATGAATTCCAACTCCTGCCACTTCGTGATATATGTAGCGCAACCACCAGTCAGTGTAATAAGCGAGTAACTGACCTCTTACCTAACTTGGCTGAATGATCTACGAGCTTGCCTTGTAACCGAAAAGCCCTATGTTCGAACCCCGGCGTTGGTTGCGTACCGACGAAGAGTCTCAAACTAGGATGAAACAGCTGTTGGTTTTCCATTGGTTCTCTAACTGATGTCGACTCGTGATTCAGCCTGTAACAAATCAAATTTTCACAGACCGAAACTTGATAAATAATTTTAATCTTTAGCTATCATCGAAAGTACTATCCCACTAAATTCTTCGAAAAAGACCTAGTCCCTTAACATAATGACAGTACGCTCATCAGTCAGATTCGCTATTTGGAAATTAATTTGCATTGAAGAATCTTTCTCTATCATCTAGCACGTATTGAACAGAATACCAGTATAATTCAAAGGTGATATAGCTAGTGAAATAATAACCAACAAGATGAGAAAATCGATTCAAAGAACGTAGGCTAGCCACCTGTAATTGTATCTGTCAATTCATCTACTCCTCTGGAATCACTTGTGTTAGCAATCGCTTTACAAACATAATTTTTCGTCCTCGAGAATAGCACACCTACCAATATGACTAAATAAAATTGTTATTAAAATCATCAGTAGTTTTATATTAAATCACCTTGTCCAAACAGGCCAAACAGCATTAAAGAATCGTCCTCTTTCATTTATAGGGTAATTTATCGAATAATTTATCGAAGGCATCTAGATACCGAACAATCCAAACAGAAGAGGCCACTGAAATTCGCTTAAATCAACTGGAGATCTGAGTGTAACCGAAGCGGATCCAGCCAATATTTCTATCCTGGTCTACTGTCGAACCTATAAATTCATACAGAATTTTCATCAGAGCTGACATTAGTTAGATAACCATTGGAAAACCTGGGAGTACTGGAAAGCTGTTTCGTCCTAGTCTGGGACTCTTCATCAGTGCGCACCCGACGGGATTCGAACACACGACTTTCTGGTTTACAAGGTGAGCTCGTATACCATTAAGCAACTGGGACCCGATCCAATGTCCATTCCATGAATTCTAACTTCTGCCAATTCACGACATATCGCGACCCCTGGCCAATGTCTTCGGCAAGTATTTGTTCTCAAACCCGACCTGCTGCACCCTACTGGTCACGACTTCTCACTAGAACCCCAGGTAACTTCCTACCTGAATAAGGCAAGTCGCTAGTGAGCATCTCATTGATATTCAAGTGTTGGTTTGTAGGGATTTGATTGGTTACAGCATTTTCATCATGAGCTGATATTATAAATTCATAAATTCTGCCTTACTACATTCACCAACAGCTGTCTTCGCTCAATACTACTCAAGATCAGATGACCAGGAAAGATCAGCTACAGGGATCTCTAGCAATTAGCGAACCAACCCAGTAGGAACTAATTGTTCAACAAGTATGCATGAAGAAAAGTAGGTGGATTGGCCATACTCTGAGAAAACAAACCATCATTGAGTGAGTGACATCACACACCAGGCTCTCTCTCTCTCTAATGAAACCTGAATGGGAAGCGGCGAGTTGGTCGTCAGTACGAGGGTGACATGGATGAGGTGATGTGAAGAGGAGATGAAAGCATGTGGTCAGACATGGAGCCAGGTGAAAGATTGGTGGAGAACGGAACGCAGTGGAGACGCGCGGCTGAAGCCCAATGTTCCTCTAGGAACGAAAGAAGACAATAATAATATAATAATAATAGTACCCTTGGTTCACCTGATGTTCAGTCAGTTTTGTGTTACATTAATGTAAATTATCTCTCTCTCTCTTACTGATGCCTTTGAGATGTGATCTGTCGATACTATTCATTCAGTGCAATCCAAAACAACGTTAATGCTGTTAAGAGCAATATTTATTTAATTAATATGATCATACAAATGCAGAACCTGATGATGAAGTCATCGATTATACTATATTCTTTGTTCACTAATCAGTCTTTCAAATTAATTTACAGTTTACGCACTCCAAGGTGTAATGTGTCACTGAAATTATTCAAATCAGGGTATATGATCTGTTTGATAGCATAAATAATAATCAAGATGGCAAGTAGAATGGCGAATACTACTGGTTGATGTGAGTAGTATAGAACTGTTCATCTCAATTAATCAGCAGTGTGTAGTTTTATGCAGCAGTAGAGCTCATTTTTTCTATGCAGATTCCATTGAAAAGGCCTCAGTAGTTAATTTCTGTAATCTGTTCACTTCAGCATACAGTAATCAGTAAGAATACTGCTCAGGTAAGGAGTTTCATACTCCCCAAGCCTCCCGTAAGTCTGAATTTGGACACTGTGATCTTTAAGGAAAGTGCTGATTGTGTTACATACTGATCTTTCACAGATCATCTAAACACTAATTAAATCTGAATGTCACACTTGATGACAGAATCAATATTGAGATTATTCAAATTCCCGCAAAATCGACATCTTTGAATTTACACGAATTAAAACAAAAACAGCCAATGAAACTTGAAAATAAAACGTGATGTATACACACAGGAATCACATATTTTTTAAGTGGGAAAACAAACTAAATCATGGTCAGTTACAAAGAAAGAGATCAAAGATAAGTGATACACAGTTAATAATAACAATAGTGATACTGATAATATTATTGCAGCATAATTATCTTTAGAAAAGGGTACTGTAAGGGAATTTTTGTCATTTTAAACTATAAGTATGGCATAGTGTTAGGCGGCAATAGTTACTGTCAAAAGTGCCATTTCCATTGTAATCATTATTTCCTTGTCAACCTAGTTACTTTATCTACGTCCGAGTTGCAGAATGATGTAACATGCCCAGTGTAGAGAATTTCATACGTTTTTGTTTTTGACGTTGATTACAAAACCAGACTCTAACAACATTCTTTTTCAAATTAAGTTTCTCTGCAATCTGTGAAATTTTCTCCGATGATGGACGCGGTTGAATACTGAAAAATGCTTCAAGTGATCTTTTCTCTGAATCAGTTATCGATGTACGCTTACGTCGTCTTTCTTCTTCTAAATCATAAATACTCGGGTGATTTGAACGTGAACTAGCCTCAGCTTCAGCTTCTTCAAGCCATGCCTGGAGTACAGGTTTCAGTGCAATCATATTATTGTGAGATAGAGTCAGTGACTCAAAACGACATATAGTTGATTGAGACAATGAGCCGACACCAGATATCTTTAGATTACCTAAGGCTTTACCAACATCAGCTTGTGTTACACCAAGTTTAATACGTCTTTGTTTAAACAATTCTGAGAAGGCTTCCAATTCTCTTGGATTATAATCTAACTCGACTGGATGACGATAGATTGATGTATTTGAATGACTACAATTCAGTAGATTAGAATGAGTGAAATTCTGTGAAGAATATCCACCGGCTGATGCAGTTAAACGATTTTTAAAATTATTCGATGTTATTCCCCCGTTTGTGATTTGACACGGAGAAGCGTCAGTATTAGCAGTGAAACCATTTACCGGCGGTAACAGATAATAATTTAAACCGGTTTTAAAGTCGTTCACGCTTCCTGTTGCCATAGTGACATCGTTTGAAAGATTCATACTATAATCATTGGCACAATTATTCATCATCATGAACTGATGATGATGGTTATGATGATGATTATGATGTTGAGAAAGACTATTCAAGCCTAAACATTGTTCCGTTCTATCATATACATCATCTAGCCTGTTATGATCACTGGAAGAGGATGTTGACACAGGGTGACTACCACTCGTAGTGCTATTACTACTACTACTACCGCTATCTAAATTGAAAAAGTTTGTTGGATTTGTAAAACCTCCGCTGTGTGAGTTCAAATGATGGTGGCCAGATGATGATGACAGGTCATATAAATTCTCTTGTAAACAATTATTCTGTCCTCCATCATAAGATGTTCGTGTGAAATTTGTTAAAAAATTATGCGATATACATGGGATCATTGAATCGAAACCAGCAATGTGACTTCTATTGCTACTACTACTAGTACCGGCTATATCAGTTAGATTTTGCTCAGGATAGTTCATTTCATTATTATTATTGCTACTGGTAAATACGGCACTATTTGTTGTGCTTAAATTACCACCAAAACGCAGTTTATTCATCAGGAAGTGATGATTAGTATTCCAACGATTTTTAATATAACTTATTTCATTTTCATAATTCATTAAATCTCCTCCTGGAGGAGGATTTGCTTTCCACAAGAATTCATTATTAACATCTGAGCATAACTTGTCCGTGTGTTGATGAGGATGATTTTGAGGAGCAGCAGGAGGAGCAGGAGGAGCAGGAGCAGGATGTAAGTAAGAAGCATGTTGAGAATTTCCACCACGTACTGACTCATCATTTAAATTCTCTGTTGATTGTGATGAATATGACAATGGGGGTGAATGTCTATCTGTAGAAGTGCTCAACTTCTCTTCGTAAACACCACAATCTTTGCTATTATTAGTAGTATTATCATTGTTTTTGAAAGGATTATTCATTGAAACATTAGTAAACATGCCATTTGAATTAGGCTCCAAATGTTCATTACTATGATCAGATTTAATTTTTGCGATAAAATTATTTTCCGACGTTAAATGCCATTCTAATAAAGATGTAGTTGTTGTCCCTTCAGTATTCAATGTTCTCTGTGAATTTGTTTGCCCCGGTGAAGATAAAGACGAATCATTTACTGGGGATTTTGATGGCTGATTACTGAAATTCCCACTACTTGTCATTGTTATCGAATTCATACATGACTCATCAACTTTTGTATTTTGAAATGAGCCAAGATAACTTTTATCCGTGATCCCAGTATTCTTAACACTCTGATTATCTCTAATATCTGTTGGATTGCATTCACTATTAAAGCTATAACACAATTTCTTTGCAGGTTCATTTATTTCACTCATCAATTTTGAGCGTAATCGATTAGGATAAACAGTGTCGTTGGTATTTTGAATAGGTTCATGATCCCTATCATCAAAACCACTGCTATTATTATTATTATCATTATTGTGAGTACTGGGTAGTGTTGGCTGTTTATCCTGCCTTTCTGTTATCTCATTCTTGTTGAATTCTGTAAAATAATTTGAATAATTTGTGAATTTACCAGTATTAAAGCTGAATTCAGTCGGATAATCGGATGAATGCGTTTTAGGCGTAGGTGAAGTTATTGTGCCTTTCCCATGCGATGAACTATAGTCATATTTTGTAGCATTTGTGACATTGATGTTGTTGTTGGTAGTTATGTCATCGTTTTCATTGGTTTCGTCATTATTATTACCATTAATATTATCATCAATGCTACTGTCATTTTGCACATCATTAAACCTGGATAATTCCAAATTACTATTGACTATTGAATGTGTCAGCGGGTTGTTTTCATCACTTTGAGAATAACCTACAAAATTTGAATTTAAACGGATACGTCCAAAATATTCATGGGATGATTCAAAAGTCATTCCCCCAAGGCATGTTTGTTGATTATGCTGCTGATTTTCCTGTTGATGACGGTGTTGATGATGAGGAGGATTGTACAACGACCGTTGATGATGTCCATGCGGGTGATGATGATGTTGATGATGATGGCGTGGATGATGAGAATGATTCGATGTATATGAATTCGAGTGAAATAATCGATCAAACCATTGATGACTAGCTATGGCTAGAATAGGATTTAGTTTACTTGAATCAACAATATCATTGGAATATTTCATAAAATCATTTTTATGATGAATACTATGACCACTACTACTACTACTACTACAATGATTACTTTTATTATTATTATTCAAATCAGAATAATACAATTCAGTATTGAAGGAATTCAATGTATCTGAATTAAGAGAGTTTGAACTGTGCAGTTTACGATAGGCATTCATTGATTTCGCTGATTTTGTTGTATCATTCGGGCATAAAGTTAAATCATCTTCTGATAGACTTTCTGTTGGATTCATTTGAAAACATGGATATATTTCATTCATTTGAGTGGTAAAATAACACGATCTAAGTAAAAGAAGAAGGAAAAAAAAGGTGTTTTAAGGATTTGAATTCTGTTTATTTAAAAATAAATAATACACAAAAGGTTTAACAGCTGAAGTTTCCTATGATATCAAAGTCGCGTCGGTGGCATAGCGGTTAGGACGCTCGCCGACCATGCACATGGTCCGGGGTTCGATCCCCGACCGGCGCACTCCTTTACCTCGCTAAGCCAGAACTAAAAGCTGGTGAAGAGGAAAGGTTGGGCATGAGGCTAGCAACCCCATCCTGTAAAAATAAACATTGCTACAGAAACTTCAAGCCCCTGGCTTGAAGCCCTATGTTCCACTGGGAACGTGAAGGAATAAAAAAAATGATATCAAAATCTGTATATACAACTGTACACACAAATTTACATGTATCTGCGGGAGCAGTTACATTGGAAGAACAGAAAGAAGAAGGGCATATCTACGATTTTCTGAACATGTACCAAAAAGCTTACATCTAAAGGGAACAAATGCTTTAAACAGTGCCATCGCCAGGCATCTCCTTGACACGGGTCATGAGGTGGACATCAAAAAGTCGTTCAAAATTATCAACAGGCAAAAGAGCTCAGTTCTCCTTCAGTTTGCTGAAGCCATTTCCATCAAGCGCCTGAAATCTGATTTATGCGTTCAGAAAGAAGCGGTTATCAGTCTTTCTTTGCCCTGCCTGGTAACTGGATATTTTTCATCTCTCTTTCATCTGAATGCGAAATGCTGAAAAGTTTCCATTGTGTATGGTTATTATTGTTCGGAATAGTGTTTAATATTACATATATATATATTAGTGTATGCGTATATTGGTCGATTGATTTTTGTTTAAAAGTGAACTCTGTGCAAGTATGTTAAAATTGTATTTGTAGATACATTTAATAATGTTTTTGCCCTGTAAGCAGCTGACGAGAAGGCAGCGAAATAAACAATTATGGTACCATTTTATTCTGCTAAAACTGTAGTTCTTGCTTTGTTCAAATTCATTAAGGGGAATAAATGTATGAAATAGTTAATTAAATATATTTTAGATAAGATTGTATTAACCATAATACCTTAGTTTGGAATTAACTTTTGCAAAGTGTAAAAGCAGATTGCTTAGCTACAAGTTTTTGAAGGATAGGATTCGTGGAATACTGACACTCCTTCTAAAATGCATACGTGGTCTCTGGATCACGTATCAGTTTACGCAAGTACATGTCTATGAGTGAAATGACATAAGAAACACGAAACTTTAAAGAGTTATTTTTGTAGGGATTTGATCTGTTTCAAGTGTGATCACAGATTGACCTCATTTACAGGACCGGTGAAAAATCACCCGGGAGTACTCGATAACTGTTTCGCTCTAGTTCGGGACTCTTCATTAGTACCCACCCACAGCTACGATTCGAATCGGGGACCTACCGGTTTTAAGGCGAGCTCGCGGACCACTCAGTCACTGGGACCCGATTCAGTGACCAACCCATGAATTCTATCCACTACCGCTTCATGGCTTTAGCGCGACCACCAATCAATGTCATCTCTAGCAAGTACTTGTTCTCACCCTCCACTTGGTGAACCCCACTGGTCACGACTTCTCACTAGAAGTCCTGGGGTCTTCGTCCTGTGGCTAGTCACTAGCGAGCATCAGACTAATTTCTTTGAATTAGTCTGATGCGTACTGCCGAATGGCTGAATGGTCTGAGAGTTTGTCTCTTAACTGGAAGGTCCTAGGTTCGAACCATGACGGTTGGTTCGTACTGATGATGAGTCCCAGACTAGGACGAAACAGCCGTTCAGTACTCTTCCCTGATTTTCAACGGTTCCCTAACTGATATCAATTCGTGGTCAAACGTGAAACAAACATGAAATTAGCAAGTCATTAGGTGTCCAGGTTTTTGATGAAAACGCTGGATTTCTATTTAGATAGGAGAGAAATAAACACATATTTGAGAGGGACAATAATATTCATCCTGAGTATCTTCTAGAGGCAGTAGTGAAGGTTACTGATTACCTTCAGCTCCGTGTTAGTAAATGCCACTGGATTTTTACACTTCCACTGGGACTAACTGATGAAACGAGACTGATCCTGATAGTCTTCGAATGGAAGCTGACTAAAAGACACCGTAATAACCTCAGAATAAGTGGAAAAAGCATCAGTAATAGGTAATACTCGTTAATTATTTTGACTCATTACTGAAATGGACTCTTAAAGCATATGGTAAGTGAAGTGATCTCCTAAAGGGATGAAAAAGCTTTAAAAGCTTCTCTGGAGAAACACCTGGAACACTGTGCAGAACACTTCGATCAGCGGTTCAGCAGATCTATAGAAACATTGCAGTTGCCAACTCCAGCCAATTTAAAAAGTGTGTATCTAATATAAAAATGAAACATCTGATGGTATAACTTCGAAGATGTTTAGGATTTGTTGTGATCCGTTATTGGCTGTAGTAACTGAGAGATCAGCTAGTGTACAGGAATCCCAAGTAGATCCAACGAACTGGTATTAATCATTGTTTATACCATTATTTGAGAAAGGGGATGAATCTTCCTCTGGTAATAATGTGGGAGGGGGGTATTCTTATGAAAACTAAGTGGGGCTTGGAAAATAACTCGTCAAAACCAGACAGATTTTATTTCTGGAAGAAGGTGCATCATTCAAATCTTTACTGTCTGACAGGTTTCGAAACACAGGCATGCCCAACACTTAACATATTTTTTTCATGAAACTATGTAAGAGCTTATGGAAGGTTATCATAGGAAGTGACGACAGACACTGGTGTTCTCCCGGGATTACCCATTGTCACTGTTCTTATTTAATTTCATCATAGATGTACTAAAGGATGTCACCTTAACCGTCCTCGCTGTTTCAGCAATCGACAGTTATCAGGGAAATATCTCATTGATTTAGAATAAGCAGTTGATATTGTCTTTTTATGATATACTGCAGTTTTCTAAAAACCTTCGGCGAAAATCTGATTTTGTTTGACATCCGGTTGTGCTCTATTAAATATAAGATAATACATGCAGCACTGCTCTGCATTGACTGGTTTTGGAATCATATAAGCCATAATTGACTAATTGTTGGTGAAACCAATCCATCAAGTTCTTGATTACGGGCTTGAACCATTTAGCCAGATGTGGAATGCCTAAATGGAGTCCTCAGGACGCTAAGAACCGTTACCAGAGTCAAGGTTCTTCACTTCAAATGAAATAAAAACAATCAGGTATATTAATCATCTAGTTGGATTAGCAAAAAGCACTACTCGCGTAGTTTTCGAACTTTATGAAGAAATTTAGGAAATAGGTATTGTGGGGATTTTTGGGTTAATTACAATTGTTAGATTTTTATCACGAACCAACAACAGGAAGAGATAATTGAAAACTGGCTGGAAGCACTGTGAAAAACTACCTGTTTCGTCCTAGTTTGAGACTCTTCAGTCAGATCATGAGGTCAAGCTCGTGGACTATTCATCAACTTAGGCTGGAATCCAATGACTCCTAAATTTGAACTTTGTCAACTTGTGATACATAGCTCTGCCGTCAATAATGTCTTCAATGAGTATCCATTTAATATTGACATCCAGACAAGCAAACAGCAAATGTGAAAAGAAGCACTACTTAATGACTTCATAAATTTCGATAGGACTCGTCATCTGAGGACTCTATAAACAAGATTAACTTTGTTGTTCTCTACCTCTGTAAAAGATAAGCTCCTCCGTCTGGCCGCCTCCATGTGCATCTATCAGTTCACCTGCTCTTGTGGAGCAAGGTACATTGGCCGTAGTTAGAGGACGCTTTCCACACGGATACGAGAACATATTCCAGCATGGTTTTATCAGGGAGAAAGGAAGTGTGTGCGAAGCTCTATTCTGGAACACCTGATCGGCTTCTGCCACTCTGTCAACCTTGACCATGATTTTAAGATCATACATAGAATCCATGCTAACTTTCCGCGTTTTCTTCGTTACAGACCTCTAAAGACAGATGAGGCCTTGACCATTCATGACTTTAAGCCAGACCTTTGTGTACAAAAGAAGTATGTACTTCTGTCTTGGCCGTAGAGGGATAGACATTTATCTATCTTGTTTATTTAGTTATTCTATGTACTTTTCCCTTATTATTATTATTCTCACTCTGAATTTTTTCCACTAGACCCACTTGTCATTTTAAACACAAAATTATTTATTTTTTACTTTTTATTTTTACAATATTGAATTCTATCTTATCAAATTTCACACCATGTTATGTAACATTTTATATTCGTCTACTAATCTTATAATTATGTACCCCTTTTCAAAATCTATACACCTTATGTATTATTCTATATACGACATTAATTATTTTGCCACTTGACATTAAACTATGATTATAATCAAAAATATTTTAACTGCATTTCATACTATTATTATTTCATGTATTCACACCTTTGACCTAATTCCCTCACCGGATATAATTTCTTAAAAAGCATGTGTATATAGGATTGTACAGCTTGATAATAAATTTTGTTGAAAAGATTCTCTTCGCTGAATATTGTGTTCTTGTTGCTAAAATGGGAATTATTAAATTATTATCTTTATAGATCACTATTTTAACTGTTGCAAACCATAAACCACCTTATAGTTAATATCAGTGAGAGAACCATTGAAAACCGGTAGGGGAGTATTGGACAGCTGTTTCATCCTAGTTTGTCCTAGTTCGCCTTGTAACCAGAAGGTCCTGGGTTGAAACCTTGGCAGCGGGTGAGTACTACTTACTTTACTTTACTGCGGCTATCTCCTACGGGAGGATGAGCCGGCTTCATGAACATCTCGAATCATCGCTGCCCAGGCGCGGCGATCTGATGCAAGGTTTTGCGACAGGGTTATCCAATTCTTGTCCCACAGACGGAGTCCGTAGACGGTTTGTAGCCTCAGGCACTCCATATCAGCCTTGACTGTACCAAGCCATGTTTTCAGCTGTCCACCCCTGCGACATCGCCAAGATGGTAATGGCGAGGGGTTTAGAACTGATTTG